CTACTGACAAGGGTAGTAGATTTAGTAGCAGTAAGGGCACCCAATGTTAGACATTGGAGATACTCATAAACACTTCATGGAAAGCCACTCAATTTAAACTAAAAATAAAAACCTGCTCAAAAGTTCATTAATTCCAGAGTTAAGAAATTATGTCCTACGGAGGTCTGATGGCACATGCCTTTCATCCCAGGATTCAGGAGTAAGAGGCAGGTAGAGCTCTGACTTGAGGCCAGGCTGGTCTAAGCAGTGAGTTCAAGAACAGCCAGACCTGCAGAGAGGAGAGTCCCTGTCTTTAAAAAAGAAAAAAAGAAAAGAAAAGGAAATCAAAAAGGAAATAACAAAGAAACTATGTCCTACAGAAATCAAAACAGTTTAGAAGTTTGCAAGCTACTTGCATATAAGATAATTTAGGTCAAGCCAGATCAACTATAGTAAATTTAATAAAATTTAAAATTATGAAAGACTAAATACTAAAGAAAAACTTAATACACAACAATAATTTCATGAAACAAACTTGCTTATATCACAGATTTAAACATTCCCTTTAAGCCGGGCGGTGGTGGCGCACGCCTTTAATCCCAGCACTCGGGAGGCAGAGCCAGGCGGATCTCTGTGAGTTCGAGGCCAGCCTGGTCTCCAAAGCGAGTTCCAGGAAAGGCGCAAAGCTACACAGAGAAACCCTGTCTCGAAAAACCAAAAAAAAAAAAAAAAAAAAAAAAAAAAAAAAAAAAAAAACATTCCCTTTAATTCCAGCACTTGGGAGGCAGAGGCAGGCAGATCTCAGTGAGTTAGGGGCCAGCCTGGTCTAGAGAGTGAGTTCCAAGACAGCCAGAACTGTTACACACAGAAACCCTGCTTCGAAAAATCAAAGAAAAAAAAAATCAGCAAACTATAGCTAAGAATTATTTTTAAAAAAACAAAAAAACACAACAGGTATCATGAGCATAAATATACCAATTTAAGGGCATTTTATATCAGTAAACTTCAAATTTAAAAATATTTTATGGCTAGGCGGTGGTGGCGCACGCCTTTAATCTCAGCACTTGGGAGGCAGAGCCAGGCGGATCTCTGTGAGTTCGAGGCCGGCCTGGTTTACAAAGCGAGTTCCAGGACAGGCTCCAAAGCTACATAGAGAAACCCTGTCTTGAAAAAACCCAAAAAGTAATAAAATGTGGGCCCAATTTCGAAAATTAAAAGTATGCCTATTCTTTTTTTTTTTTTTTTTTTTGCCTATTCTTACCAAGCCATGATAGTGTAGTGCAGTAACATAAGCAAATCCAAATCCTAAAGCCACATTTGCAATAAAGTTATGGAAACAATAATTTAACTCTGAACCTCAATCTTCTCATCTAAAAAATATAGGAGATCAAATTCAAAGACCTGTTGCTAAGAATTAGCAATATATAAACAATAGTTGAAGAGGCATTCTGTAAATGGCAGCTGCAATAATTGGAAGCAATAATACAACCTATGAATATACTAAAGCATGGCTTAATCTGTTGATCCTCACAATTAGCAATTCACCTGACTTGACTCACAAACTATAATGTATTTTAGGTAAATTTCTTACTCTGAGCAACTCTGAACCACTACTTAAAATTCCATCATATTGTAGAGTATCTAACTGGTAAAAGGCCCATCTCCAAGTAGTACTTTATGAAAAATAGATGCTGCCTTTATTTCATTAAGTACCATTCACATGACTCAAAGTCCATAGTATGCCCAGTCATGCAACTTCCCCTACACATATATAATCAGTTTTAACCATTTCCCATAAATCCTTTCACTGTATTGTACTGGCAAATACAAACCTCCCCTTCCGACATAAACATGATTGTCTCTCCTTAGTACCTGACTATGTCTTTCACATGTATGTTAAGGGCTTATATTTTAACTAATACACTATAACCACTTCCAGCCAATTCCTATGACCAGAATTCAGTCAATGGAAGCTATCTTTGTATTTTTGGAGACACAATATTCCTGGTCATACTGGATATAACTCACAGAGTTCCGCCTGCTTCTGTCCACCCACCTCCAGTGCTGGGATGAAAGGTATGCTCTGGCAAGAGTTATCTTCACAAAGGTACTTAAAAAACAGGCCAAAAATAAGGCATTAGATCAAACCAAAATTCTTAAACACTAGCATATGGATGAAACCTGGTACACTGGAGATTTACAAGAGGTCACATGCTGAAATAATTACTTGATCAGCTATTCAGATATATATTTTTTTGTTTTGATTGCTTGTTTTTTCAAGACATGGTTTCTCTCTGTAGCTTTGGTGCCTGTCTTGGATCTCGCTCTGTAGTCCAGGCTGGCCTCGAACTCACAGAGATCTGCCTGGCTCTGCCTCCAGAGCGCTGGGATTAAAGGTGTGCACCACCACCACCCCGCTGGATATATATTTTTATATACTTAAAAAGAAAATATATAAGGGTTGGAGATTTAGCTCAGTGGTAGAGCGCTTGCCTGACAAGCGCAAGGCCCTGGGTTCGGTCCTCAGCTCCAGAAAAAAAAAGAAAAGAAAATATATAGACTGCACTATGGGGTCGTTCATTGAGGTGAAAATTAATCAATACAGCCTATCTATGGAACTGGGCATACTAAAATGTCAATGAAATAAAATATTGGTTAAAGATAAAACTATCTGTTGGTTGTGCTTTTCTACATTATTAAATGTTTTTGGTTGAGACAGGGTTTCTCTGTGCAACTGCCCTGGCTGTCCAGGAACTCACTCTGTAGACCAGGCTGGCCTTGAACTCAGAGATCCACCTGCTTCTGCCTCCCAGTGTTGGGATTAATGGCCAGCATGTGCCACCATGTCCAGCTTACAATATTAAATCTTACCTGCTCTTTTCCTAGCATCCTTTGCAGTTTCCTTTCCTGGATTAAGTTCCCTGCTAGGCTTACAAAGGCACTGTTCCTGAATAACTTGTGTTCACATTTCCTATTTTCCTTCCTCAGAAACACTGACAATTTTTTTTTTTTTTTTAGTCTCATACATGGGAATGAGCTTTTATTTTATTTGCATGTGTGGGTATAGAGGTCAAAGGACAGCCTTCTACCATGTGGGTCCTCGGGACCAAACTCAGGTCATCAGGCTTGGCAACAAGCCTCCTTTTCCCACGGAGCCATCTCCTCAGCCCATCACTTAAATAGAAAGTCACATCACATAAAGCAAAGAGGGTATATGGATTTTCAGGGCAGTAACTTAAATAAAAGAAAGCATTAGAAGTCTAAAGACTTGTACAACCTTATTGTAGAACAAATGTTTTAGACTCTGACAAAATGAGCTCTTATCTCTCATTAAGAATACATATCTAAAACCCCAAAGTACATTTGCTTATTAAAGAAAACGTTACAATCACTGTTAAAATGTATGTGAATACAGACACTCAGGCTGGTTCTGCATTGTTCCACAAAAATACAAAGTCATCCTTCCATTCAGAGTTTTGGCAAATGAATACAGAGGTCAGGGGTCATGCTATGTCAAACGGATCACTACTTATTTCTTAGCCTGTTTACTAAGTTGCTAATACAGTCATTTCAGTTTGAAGTAACTTTCTACACATCTGTTTAGAAAGATGGAGAATTATCTGCAGATTCGATGGCACAAATGCTGGAGCGCTAGAAGACTTCTAACAATTACTCATACTTAAAACGCCTAATTTAAAAATCGTTACTGACATTAGCAAAATACCGAGCATATAAGAAAAACATAAACAGTACTGTTTATTGGACAACGGAATGTGAACCTTGAGAAAAATAATTATTTTCAGAATTTTGTTGCTAAATTCAATCACAGAAAATCTGGCATTTTTGTTCATTCAGGTCTGAAAATTTGTACTATCACTTGCACAGATGAGTCAAATTATTAAATTACTTTCAATATTTCACAAAAAATAAATATGGCCAGCATTAATATATTTAAATTCTGAAGGACTCATGGGCAGCAAGAGTCTTATTTTTTAATATGCTATTTCGTGGTATACTATTTTGTGTCAGAACAAACCTAACTCAATAATGAGCTATAACAATGTGTATCTGATGAAATCTCTTATTTTTAATGGGCCTCTTTTCAAAAGTAAGACTCAAGTTAACTCCGAGGGACATCATAATGAAGTTTCACAGTACAACACTAGTCACAGAGGCATTGCCCTAGGAGAGACTCTGATATTGGTAAACAGTATTTTGAAATATGCAACTCATCCACTTCATTATTTTTCCTAGTTCAAACCACTTAATGTAACAAACAACTTGACTTTCACCAGGAAAAAAAAAACTCTACATGTCAATGACGAGGCCTAGTTACTGGTGGAGTACGTGGAAAAGAGATAATTATCTAACTTGGAATTAATCTCCTATATGTAGTGTAAACTGCTTCAACACCCCTTCCAAGAACGATACTGACCATTACGTCTCCATGGGTCCCCCAACACTCTACTGTAAGGGAGTCCACACCTAAAAGGACTCTTTAGGCTCCTTCCTCAAAGAAAAGACAGCACAGGCCTGGCAGGCAATGCCCAGAGTACCCCCTAAAAAGTGTGGGCCTGGGAGGTGCGCGGCTGCCGGGGATCTAGTTACTCTCTTTCCCCTTCCCCCAACCCACTTCCCGGGTTTTCTCGGCCTGCTCGGTCCCCACCCCAGAGCCACACATCCAGATGTGGTCGCCGCCGCCTCGGGGCTCCCCTCCGGAGCTCAAGGTGTCCCCCCACCCCCGACCAGCGCCTCGGCATCTGCCCCCCAAAACCCTGGTCCTCCCCAGGCCGCCCGCCCGCCCGCCCGCGAGACCGTCCAGCCCAGGGCCCGGGGAGGGGAGGGAAAGGCGGCAGCAGGAGGAGGAGGAGGAGGAGGAGGGGAGACCGCCGCTTCCCCAGCGGCAGCAGGGCGGCCGCAGCGAGGCCTCGGGGTCGCGGGAGGAAGGGCCCCCCCTCCCCGCCCGCCCCGGGCCGACATGGGGGTGGTGGGGGGGGGGTGTCCGGTAGATCATCTCTGACCTCCTCGCTCTTCAGCACCTCCTTGAACTCCCGCTTGATTCGCTGCACCGCGATGTTGGCCATGTCTCTGCCCGCAGCCGATTCGGACCCGCCTCCTCCGCCACCGCTACGACCACCGCCGCCGCCGCCGCCGCCGCCGCCGCCGCCGCCGCCGCCACCTCTTCCTCCACCGCCTCCTCCCTCAGGGATGCCGACCCGAGCCCGCGAGCGCTGCCACTGCCACCCTTGCCGCCGCGCTCCCGCTCCGTGTGGAATCACCTCCGCGCCCGGCCACCAAAATGGCGCCGGGTCCGCGCATGCGCACCACGCTGGCCCGGGCGGGCGGCGCAGCCGCTCCAGGGGTAGCCCCCATGCGTCTGAGCAGCCAGCCCGCGCCGCGCCGCGCCGCGCGTCGCAGCCGGGGCTTCGGACGCGTGGCTCCGCCCTGCCGGCGTCTGGGGCCAGGAGGGTGCGGCCTCCGCGCCCGCCGGTCAGCGGGCTCTGGGCCCGGCGGGTCTTGCCCTGCCTGCTCGTCCGCCCCTGGGACCCGGAGGCGTCCGGGGCCGAGGCTCGCCCCCGAGGTGGGAGCCCCACCTGGCGGGTCCCCCCGGCCCCACGCGGCCTGAGCCCCGCTCTAACTCTGCCGGACCCGGAGCCCACGGGCTGGAGGTGCCTCCCTGGGTCTAGCCGAGGGACAAAAAAAAAAAAAAAAAAACCAAAAAACTCTGCAGGAACTCGGTCCTGCCCAGCGTCCGTTGGTAAACCGACCCCCCCCCCTCCCTCCCCCCGGGGAAATCCACTGCCGTAGCTTTTGTTCTTGGAACCATGATAACGCAGCTATTATTCGGTCATCGCAGGTATTGAGGTTGTGTAATGGTTGGATCCCACGGGTTGGTACTCGGTACAGGTATTGCCAGGGAGAGAGGCCTGTGGTTGGTTTCGAAGCCAGAAGTTAATCAGTCGTTGACCTGTTTTAGATGATGAATGCTGAGCTGTAGAACTAATATGTTTTTCAAACTTGAACGTGCTTCAGAATCCCTGGAGAGCTTGTTAGATTGCTAGCTAGGCCCTTTCCCTAGAGTGTGGATGGGCCTGAGAATTTGTGTTCTTAGCAAGATCCCTGACTGCCTGTTTTTCAGCGACCACACTGTGCGATCGGCTGAATTAAGCCTATGAAAATCTGTGTATATTATAGTGAAGTTGAAGAACGAAGGAGCTTTAGCCCTACAAAGGTGTTTGGCAGATTTCACTTAAACAGTGAGTATAATTGAATGGAGAAGAAGATAAACTAGTAAGATGTTTTAAGTGAACAATAATGTTGAAAGGCGATTTGAAAGTGGTTAGTAAAGTTGAAAGCAAATAAAATAGTTTGGGTGCTGAGAGGTATGTTGAAAATAAAGTTTAGAAATAAAGAGTTATTTTAGGAGTATGTTTCATGTATTTCGTCACCTAATTAATCAGTTGAATATTGTAAGACTTATACGAGCTGAGTGTGGTGGTACACACTTGTAATCCCAGGACTCGGGAGTCAGCAGAAGGATCATGAGTTCGAGACCAGTCTAAAAGTGCTACAGGAGTCCGAGAGGATCTTTTTACTCCCCGTTCTGTCCCAAGCCAACTCCATTGTCAGCTACGATTCCCTCATCTGTGAAATAAGGAGGTTGCTAGAGTCCAAAATTCTGAAACATCCCTGAGTAGACAGAAATTATAGAAACTCTTGTAGCAGAGCCCCCTAGTGGTTATAATGAGGGGTCAACTATTAACGACTAAACATGACAAAGAATTTTTGCCATGATAGAACTCAAGAAATGCTGTAGGTATTTATGCCCATACATACAACTTAAAACACTTTTAATCACACTCTGCCTAACCTCAAGAAACTTAACAATAATCCTACGGGGAACAAGTTATAAAGGTCTGATAATTTCTTTGAAAGATAGGGACTTGGTAATGCTTTTTCTGTGCCGAAGCTTGAACCCAGGGTCTGTGCATGCCAAGTGTGCACTAAGAATGGCCTGCAGCCAGCCAGGTTGTGGTGTGTGTTTATGTTTAGGCAGGCTCTCATTAGACAACCCAGGCTGACCGCAGATTGAAACTTTTCTGACTCAGTCTCCCTAATGACTACAGACAGACACCACCACACTAGGCTCAAGTTTGTGATTTTTTTTTAATGCAAGTAATCATTTAACTGCAATTGCATTTTTGGAATTCATTCTATTAACATTCTGGAGAACCAAAGAGATGTGACTAGTGATAGCTGAGTAATTTCATGAGTAGTAGCATAGCAGTGTTAATGTTAGTTTTGGCAAAGCACCTTAGTAATTTACAATGTTCGCATTAACAGAAGGTGGGTAAAGAACAGACAGAAATCTCTACTACCTTTGCAACTTATCTGTAAATCCGTAATTCTCAACTGGGCATGGCAGCTTATTCCCGTAACCCCAACTACTTGGGAAGCCAGGGCCCAGGAGTTAGAGGTCAGCCAACAGGAGGGTGCTCAAGGGAATGGAGTCTCTGGTCTGGGTGGAGACCCGACATTCCAGCTGGGCTAGTTCAGTGGCTGTGGCTGAGGGACCACCTTCAGCATTCTAAGGAGATAGACGACGACGGCTTGATTAGTTCTTTAATGAGATGCTGTACTTTTCCTTCCCAGAGTCCCGCCCCTAGTGAAGTAGCCCAGGAACTGAGCTTTGTGAGGAGGTAAGACTGTGCACGCTTCGGAATTGCTCAGAAAAGTTAGGTTTTTCCTTCCTTCTGTCTGTTTGCTAAGTGTGCTTTTCCTTAGTACTTGAGCCCCTCTCCCCTCCACCCCCCAACATTTTGGGCTTCCTTACTCTTTCCATAAAGCTTCCCACTAACATGGCTGCTTTTTTCCATGTGTCTGACCTCCCTGTCACCTTCAATGGTGTTTTTTTCCTTATTTCCTCCAGCTAGCTGCTGAAATTCAGAACTCACCTGGCTTGAGGTTTTCATTTTCCTTTTGTTTTAGTTTGTTCTTGAGAAAGCGTTGCACTTTGGCTGGCCTGGAGCTCAGTGGTAGACCAGGCTGACCTCAGAAAAGATCCACCTGCCTCTGCCTTCTGAGGACTGGGATTAAAGACATCCCCCTCCCTTTTTTTTTTTTTTTTTTTTTTTGGTTTTTCGAGACAGGGTTTCTCTGTGTAGCATTGCGCCTTTCCTGTAACTCGCTTTGGAGACCAGGCTGGCCTCGAACTCACAGAGATCCGCCTGGCTCTGCCTCCCGAGTGCTGGGATTAAAGGCGTGCACCACCACCGCCCGGCATACCCCCTCCCTTTTTTAATCCTTGTTTCCATGTGAGTCCATCCTTAAGTTCTTTTATTAATGAGACTAGAAAACCCCAAAGGGTGATCCCAGTAATATCAAGACCTTCACTCAAGAACCTTTTTTAATTATTACACAAGAATCCAGGTGGTGGTGATGGACGCCTTTAATCCCAAGTACTCAGGAGGCAGAGACAGAGGGCCAGCCTGGCTGGTCAGATAGGATAGGAGAATAAGGTAGATTATTGTATCTACTTGTAAACTAAATAAATAACTATCAGCTTTAGATAATTTGCATTGGTTTGTATTCTTGTATATTGATACAAATATAAAATTATTTTTCTATTTCTGTGTAAGACAATTTGTATATTGATACAAATGTAAAATTGTATTTGTCATACTGTGTATGTTCTACCTCTGTTTCAGATATTTTGTATAAAGGATATTGTCATATTGCACTATACATTTCTACCTCTGATTAAGATATTTAATAAGTTGTCACAAATTAGAGGTCATTGATCTTATACTGTACATCTGTTATTTAGGTTGATAAGATTTACAGATTAATAGTCACCCATGCTTGTCATATTTCTAGTCATGTTAGTCAGGTTTTCTAGATATGCAGTAGTATATGTCAGATGGACAGGTAATCTTCAAACACTTCATAGACCTAGAGAATATGGCACTTAAATGTTCTAATGACTTAGAATTCTGTTGACGTGAGACACGATTGCTCCTGGCAGCACTGATCTGATCCCGAGAGAATGTTGGGCTTCTAAGACATTTCCATTTGAAAGTTTGTCTTCTTCTTGGCAAAAAATGACCTACTGGGCAAAGAACTGCCCTTGCCTCAACTGCTGACAGTATGCACGCTGTCCTTTTCAGACGAGCAGGACACAAGGAAAAGCTACTGCAGAATCTTGCCAAGACAGGGTAAGATGGTCTTTCATAATTCCTGCTTCTGAAAATGGTCTGTCAGATATTCTAGGCCTGTAGCCAAAAGTGGATGTCCCAGTGTTTCAGAGAAACATTGGGTGACTGTCTAAGCAGGCAGCTGTCTCTTTCATTTCTTGCAATTTTTAGGAAGTTGCTTGCTTGCACTTCCTGTTTACTCAGGTAATATTATTTTCCTTCTCAGGTCTTTGATGGGGTTGAAGACTAGACAGTTATAGTTATAGTTTTACTTAGTTATGATAAAAGGTAAATTAGATGTGAAACTTTAGACTCACAAAAATAGGATAGATGATAGAGTATTTTCTTTAACTTTGCTAAATACAAATAGACTAGATATTGTAACTATAATTTGTGCTTGATAACTGTTCTGTTACATATAACTATATTAAAATGAAAATCTTCCTTTTCATTAGACAGAAAAGGGGAAGGGCTGTGGGATGATATTTCTGTACGCTGTGAATATGTGTTGCTACCATTGCTTAATAAAGAAGCCGCTATGGCTGTGAATATGTGTTGCTACCATTGCTTAATAAAGAAGCCGCTATGGCTGTGAATATGTGTTGCTACCGTTGGTTAATAAAGAAGCTGCTATGGCTGTGAATATGTGTTGCTACCAGTGCTTAATAAAGAAGCTGCTGTGGCCTATGACAAGGCAGAATAGAGCCAGGTGGAGAATCTAAGCAGAGAGACAAGGAGAAGAAGGCAGAGTCAGAGGAGACGCTGAGCACTGAGGAAGAGGGTGGGAGGAAGATGTAATGGAACGCAGGTAATGTCACGAAGCCACATGACAAAACATAGATTAATAGAAATGGATTGAATTAAGTCATAAGAGCTAACTAGTTAATGATAAGCCTGAGCCACAGGCCAAACAGTTTGTAATTAATATAAGCCTCTGTGTTTGTTTGGGACTGAACAGCTGTGGGACCAGGCAGGACAGAAACTTCCGTCAACACTGGTCTACAGAGTTCCAGGACAGCCAAGGCTACACTAACCCTAAAAAGAAAAATATTACAAAAGAAAG